CCTTGCCTTTATCCTTCTTATTAAAAGGTGTATCATATTCCTGACCCCATGTCTCTTCAGTTGTTCATATATCATGTGTTCGGGGGTTTTCATGGCGGAAACGATCCTCCATGTGTCCTTGAGAAGTACCAGCTTCCCAGTTTCGACACAGTAGGACTTGAAGATACGAGTCGAGCGGCCGAGGGGGGATCCCACAGCCATGTAGGTAGGACAATAAAATACGTAAGTGTAGCCTTTTGGATCAAGTTGAACATGAAACAGTCGGTCACGGTCTTCAATATTGAGGGACCTTTTGGCCTTTACCACGGCAGGGTGGTTGGGTGGAAATTCTCTAGCAGTAGTATCGACGTCACGGGCAGCAGGGCTGGCATGATTAAACTGCCAGAAGAACTCGACATAGGAAGGATTTGAGAGACGGACTTTTTCCGTTACGATAACGCCACTCCTATCCCAGCGCATGAATCTAGCATAATTCGGGAAAACAAGGACAAGGAAGACATGTGTCCGGAACTGTGCAGCTTGGTGTGCCGTCGCATATAGTGTAATCTGACCCAGTGTATCAAGCGCAACCTTGGAAGTACGCTCCAAGGAACTATTATCAATGAACGCGTCGTCCCCAGCGGCTTTTTTAAACTCCACAGTCATTTCTGTCTGTGTCATATCCGATAGGCTAGATCGCTTGGAATTTGCAAAAAATATTTGTATATCTGGCTTGACTTGTTTCCCTCCGAAGTCCACCGCAGGTGTGTCGTGAGCGTCCACGAGATCAAGGTTGGGACAAAATGGTGACATGAAATTAATCTATATCCTAAATAAATTGCACGGAATCCAAAGGCAGCACAAAATTACGTACCCAGGGCTTGTACATGGCAAACTCGGAACTGGATTCGCTGAAAGATTTGTGTTTTTGCTGTGTTTCGGCGGTAATTTTGGGACAGGGATTGGGAGCTCTAGGGAGGTATTGATTCAAGAAATGGTCTACTTTGACGGGACCGACAATTCGCCCAGATATTTCCCTGGACATCGCGGTGATCCTTTCATCTCTCGCTCGGTGCGTGGAAGAATATATGTGTTGAATCCTTCTTTAGAATAGGAGTGGCACCCAACTTGGTAGGATCCGCGGTAGGACCCGACGGTGGTGTTTTTTGCGCGGAAAATATGAGACGATGTCGTGGGTAATGTGTTCTTCGGCATTAAGTCGTAATGCAAGGTGATCAAGTAAGGACAACCCCGATCGAGGTAGCGGCTGTCACGTGTAGTCACAGATTAACTCAGGTCTAGCGACCGGGAATATGGATCCCGTACTGACCTTCCGTTGCACAAGTGTATGAATCTCCCGCAATGCACTCATAACAGAAGTCACCCTATTGTTATAATAATAATAACTGCGTCCATTTTTCGCTGAATTTTCATTAAGCATAGAATAGTTCACAAGTGTTAAAATTTTGGCCGTTCGGTAACAATCTCAACATGATGACACTTGTGGGTCCTAGCATATTTCTGTTCAGTAGCTTAGTAATACCAACGCTTTTTGTTCGCGTCCATCGTGTAAGTGCGATACTGGAGGCAAGTGCATTTGTGACTACAAGTGCAATTGTGAGTGTGACACAAAGTTGAAGTTATGATGATGAGGCATTCAAAAATGGTGGTTGCTAATTGAGACAATGATGGTGGCTTGTATGTGCGATAATTTGAAGGTGTTGAACAAGGGCGAGATCAGCACAATGATATTCTGGTTGGGAGAGTCAAATGAGGATGTCAGATGGAAAAATGAATGGATGCAAATGAGTTGAAGGTGATGTGTTTGTGTTATCGGAAAAGCAAAGTTGGTATCAAAAAAAAAGTGAAAGGCTGCTGTCTAATGCAGCATTACATTGGCATTGATCCAGATGTTGATAGGACCAAACTGTATCCCTTGAGAATGGTGAGTACAATACATGATGATGATGGTAAGTAAAAATGATTATTTAAAAATGTACTATGCACATCTGTGATAATGTAATCAGTATGTCATAAGCCACCAGGCTTACACCAAAACACAGAGCATAGCAAGACCATCAGTGTCCTCAACAGCTTGCAACATATACCAATCAATTCTAACACTTTGCAGTAAATGTGTTTATGAAATCAAGTATTTTGATTTAATTTATCATCATCAAGGGGTAGGGGATATGGAGGTGTGTTGGGGTTAGGCTCAAATGAGTAAATCACAATCTGTTCTTGTATATAAAATGGCCTATGCAAATGAATAGTTAATTGCGTGTCACTATGCGTGAATGAGTGGCTTACAGGCCATCCATTGTTCTCACAACCCATCGATCATACACAACTTCATTTCCCCAGTCAGTTCGAACAAGCCATGTCTGTGCCTTGTGTTTTGTATTGATACATAATCTGAAAAGACAAGTACGAGAAAGGAGCCTAAAAGGCACAGATCAATGCCATAGAAGCCGATTACTTACCTCTAACATATCAGAAGCACACCAGAAAATATCACTCATAAATAACACCATGTCAAATTCGAAAATTCCCATTTGGCCCACAGCCTCGCCGCTGTATAGTGGTGCCATCACTGCATTTCTGACAATTGCAAGCTGGACAATGTGCCGACCATTGTTCTTATCGAGGTGCACTGCATCCCCTTGGACAAGGATCTAGAGGGGAAGGTTTAGGGCCACACTACTGAAAGACGATTGACTGAGATTGACTTGCTTTGTAGGCGGCACCCATGCCAGAGAGTGCCTGTGCAAGGGCAACAAGCAAACCAGGTGTGTGGTCATGTTGAGAGTGTTGATACCATGTACAACAGATCAGGCTGTGATTCCCTCATTCAAGACTAATTTGTCATATTACACCTTAATTTGTTGTACTAGTATATACAGAGACAAACGGAAATTTCAGAAGGCCAAGTCGATGTATCTTGGGGTGCGAACTTTGAACTTTTACATAGTTATGCATATGCTTGTTTGGTACTTGATGGTTAGTTCCATAATTCTTAAACATATTTAATTTAATACGCTTGGAAAAAGATATATATATATATAGTTCAATGGGAACTTTTGGTAGGAAGGAGCCCGTGATTTAACGGGATAAAAATATTGCCTCAGGCGGGAGTCGAACCCACGGCCTTCAGACTCTTACCCGGTCAGAGGGACTGTAAGAATTTTACGCTCTACCGTTGAGCTACCGAGGCCTTATTTACAAGGCCTACATTCTAATAGATACTGAGCGACGACACCACTGTTGTAACATTTCTGGATTTGACCTGCTATTTTCATTCCAGACTTATTTGTCATACTACACCTTAATTTGTTGTACTAGTATACAGTGACAAACGGAAAAATTAGAAGGCTAAGTCGATATATTTTGGGGTGAGAACTTTGAACTTTTACATAGTTATGCATATGCATGTTTGGCACTTAGTGGCAAGTAGAGTTGCTCCAACCATTCCCGGGACCGCCGCTATGCTATCCCAACACTGCAACTAAAGGTGGCCTTCCTCTGTAGTACGACTGGCGACAAATCTAAGTAGGGTGCTCCTGTTGAAGTATGCATAATACTGTTCCTAGACCGTATAACTTTCCGTTTGTCTCACTGAGTCGTTGTAAATAGATAAGGACTAACCAAAAACACATAGGCCTCATGTAACGCGAAATACGCAGTGATTTTCAACCGCAGGGACCCGAGCCCTAATGCTCGTAATCCCTCGCTAACCTAAATCTCCGAAAGGTCAATAGCTGCGCCATCAGCTTTCTTTACATAACGAGCCCGGGGTTCATCTACGTAGTTGTCACGTCGAAATAAATCGTGCGAGTGGCAGCCATGTATTCTGCCTCGGTCGTTGATAGTGCAACAATGGGCTATTTTTAAAACCCCAGGAGATGGGGCCCCCGTCTATGGTGAAACGTGAAAGCGCTTTGTCAAATAAGCTCACAGGTGGGTCAAGCAAGTTGACAGGACCACGGTGTATTGTCTAGAGCGAGACTGGATACAGGACAGTGTAGCAAACGGGAAAGAAAGAGAAGGAAAACTTATATGTCGTGATCACGTGCGAATAGAAACATGCGTAAGACATGCGTAAGACTGAGGCACCAGGCTTACAAAACGTAGCCTGAGATCGATACCTGTGCTCTTATGGTCACCAATCCGCGTCAGTGAAGCCTTCATACTTGTATCACGTCTTCTCTGATAGCACTGATATCGCGTCCTTAATATCGCGTCCTATATCGTCCTTAGATATCGTCTTAGATATCGCGTCCTTATATCGCGTCCCTTAGATATCGCGTTCTAGTATCCTCTTTAGATATCTACACCTCTTTACAGCCTCCCAATGCTGTCAACCGGGATTCTGCATAAACTGAGAGCAACGAAAGGGTGAAGCTCTAACCAAGCTGGGTCATACATCAGTGAACCTATGGCCCCGTGATACGGTATGTTTTTCATATCTTCATACTGGCAGGACATAATAGGTGATTGAGATTCGGAAAGATGCTGGTGAGGGTCGAGCGGCGTAGATAGCGGCTTTGCGGCTGGTGGGCCAAAACGCGCTAATATCTTGTTAATGTACGAAACGCCGTGAAAATGAAATAGTTCTTGCGGTGCAATCCCATTTGATCTCGAACCCTAAGAGCCATTTAAACTCTCCTAGGTCCTTAACTTTGAATTCCGCACAAGATTGATCGTTAAATTGGAATATGACTCTTGGAGCTTCCGGCTATCGTCATATCACCAGGATCCACTTTGACGATCAGTGTATCTGCGTCAGTGTATCTGTAAAACACTGCGTGTTCAACTTGGGAACGACTGAATCGGCGCCCCAAGATGTATTGACTTGGCCTTATGAATTTATATTTTTATTACTGTATATACTGGTACAACAAATCAAGGTGTAGTATGACAAATAAGTCTGGAAAGAGGGAAAAAATAGCAGTCAAATCGAAAATGTTACAACGGTGGTGTCGTTGTTCAGCATCTAATAGAATGTGGATGTCGTAAGTAAGGCTTCGGTAGCTCAGCGGTAGAGCGTGAGATTCTTACAGTCCCCTCTGACCGGGTAAGATTCTTGAGGTTGTGGGTTCGACTCCCGCCTGAAGCAGTATTTTTTATCCCGTTAAATCACGGGCTCCTTCCTACCAAGAGTTCCCATTGAACTGGATATATATATATTTTTTTCCAAGCGCGTGAAATATGTTTAAGAATTATGGAACTAGCCATCAAGTACCAAACAAGCATATGCATAACTATGTAAAAGTTCAAAGTTCGCACCCCAAGATACATCGACTTAGCCTTCTGAAATTTTCCGTTTGTCTCTGTATATACTAGTACAACAAATTAAGCTGTAATATGACAAATTAGTCTGGAATGAGGGAAAAAATAGCAGTCAAATCCAAAAAGTTACAACGGTGGTGTCGTTGTTCAGCATTTAATAGAATGTGGATGTCGTAAGTAAGGCTTCGGTAGCTCAGCGGTAGAGCGTGAGAGTCTTACAGTCCCTCTGACCGGGTAAGATTCTTAAGGTTGTGGGTTCGACTCCCGCCTGAGGCAGTATTTTTATCCCGTTAAATCACGGGCTCCTTCCTACCAAGAGTTCCCATTGACCTATATATATATATATTTTTTTTTCCAAGCGCATGAAATATGTTTAAGAATTATGGAACTAGCCATCAAGTACCAAACAAGCATATGCATAACTATGTAAAAGTTCAAAAATTCGCACCCCCAAGATATACACCGGGAAAACCCGTCCCTCCTCTTTAAAAGATTTTGGGATCCGTAGTAGAGCCTTATCTTATATAAACTCCAATAAACTCTATTGGATCCTTATAAGATTTGAAGTTGGTTAAGGATCCAAAAGGTAGGTGGGAGGGTGATCAGGTGTACATAGGATTCTTTAAGCATCAACCATATCATTAAATATAAACTCCTTCAATTTTGTATAGTCCAGTGGGATTCTGGATCGCTTTATTGTTCGGGCAATTCTCCCTCTCTCCCTCTTACTCTCATGAGGTCACTCAAAAGCCCTTCCAAGGAGGACACTCGATTTCAGTGATGGTCTAGCCAGCATCTGGCAGCGACTGCTTCAGCTGCTCAACTCTATGGTGAAACTGCGCACAGGAGTTGGGATGTTTGTCCTGGTTGTTGTAGTTGCTATCCTCTCCACCGTCTGAACTGGTCACTCACTCTTCGAAGTGGGTGGACAGTAACAACTTTACAGGCATGATAGAGAGGTGCAATTTGGACTTTGTTTGATTTTATGGGGTCATGAGATGAGGAGGGATTGTCTGCCCCTTCCCCTGTGGTTAGTTATTTCTCTTTTTGCTTAACATTGTATTAACCATTTCTCTCTCTGAGGTATGACTGCCAACTCAGACATTGTGTATATCCCCTGTTAGTGTGACATTGGCCCCAAAGCTATAAGTACAATCCAATCATTGTCCCAGATCTTTCAACTTGTCGTACAGGCATAAGTCCCTTCATATGTGATCAATTCCAGTACAGTCTGTTCGGGAAACAAGAGCTCATTAGGTGCCAATGTGCACACCATAGATTTAAGCTTGGACAGGAGACTAACTATTCATTTGACCACACCATTGTGCCACTGACAGCTTAAAGACAATATTTAGGTGGCTTCCCTTTCCATTTAAATCTACAAAGAGTGAGTATTAGGTATGTATGGCTCAAAGGAGTTGCCAAAACACAAAAAAGCCAGGAATTGTCTGTGAGTCCTGACATGGAGATTCCACTTTTTCAAAGAATCCTTCAATTTGTTGCTCCTGGTTCTGATATTGGCTTGATTCCTGATACAAACTAAGAGCTACGAAGAAGAATATGAGCAGCCACTGAGGAGTCCGCATCAGCGCACCATGCTCTTACTAAATGTGGAAAATGTAGTTTGTCCCAAGTTTGGTTATTTTTCGAAACACAAATCTATATTCATTATCTCCTTGCGCTCGTTATGTAAAGCAAGCTGATGGTGCAGCTATTGACCTTTCGGAGATTTAGGTTAGGGAGGGATTACAAGGATTAGGGCTCGGGTCACTGCAGTTGAAAATCACCCTGTATTTCACGTTACATGAGGTCTATGTGTTTCTGTTATCCTTATCTATTTACAACTAGTACCATCACCCCAGTCAGACAAATGGAAATTTATATGGTCTAGGAACAGCACCACGAAAACTTCAACAGCAGCACCCTACTTAGATTTGTCACCAGTCACTAGAGGAACACCACCATTAGTTGCAGTGTTGAGATAGCATAGCATATTTGTTACGACCCGTTCCTGGATGTTTCAATATCTGACTTCTGACATCCAACATCCAACTTCCGACTACAGAACATCATAGTTACCGTACCTTCCATATTCTTCCCTTGTTCTGCATTTGGTAATTTGTCTGTTGACAAGTATTCACTCGTTTGTTTATTATACATATTC